ATCAAGATATGTTATAGGAAATTTTTGACTGTTTTATTATCCTTGATTGAAAATTGAATTGCTAGTAAGATATTTATTTATGAGTGATCAGTGGCATAGCTAGAGTGGTGGGAGGAGGAGGGAGAATTTGAAAATCCCCGTCCCCCACCTTAGGAAAGCCGCCAAATTATTTTTTTACATTAAAAATTAAATATTACGCAAAATTCAGGGGCCCCCAAACAGGTCAAGCCCCCCGGGCCCCCAAACGATAGAAAATTCCTAGCTACACCCCTGTGAGTGGTGAGTCATTGTGTCATTTGTTTTTCACCTTCATAGAGACAAAATATTACTTTTAGTTGGAATGCCAAATATTTGTGTGGAATTTATGTCCATATGATGAAAGTAAAGTTTTATAACCGTCATGTTAATGGTATTGATACCCAAAGTATTTAATGTTACCTTTCATCTAAAACATTCAACAAGTGCTTTTATACATCTGCTCCTTCTTCCTTAAACAACATGACCTAAATTATGGCAGATTTAAAGAAAATCCAAATCCTTCTTCCTTAGTTCTGCTAGAGGATTCTTGAATCAACCACAGAAACCAAAATCTTATAGTTTAAGTCTCTAATTAATATGCAAAACTGGATTAACATTTGTAATATATAAGAAAAGAACCAGTTCTATACAAGATAAGAACCAGTTCTATGCACAACTAGATAAACATTTTTAATATATAAGATAAGAACCAGTTCCATGCTCTAATGCTGGAATAAACTTCTGTTTTACTGGTCTTGTTAATTAATTATAATCGAAAGATGGTAGACAAATCTTGCGTGGTGCCCCAACTGTCCAATCAGATTAAGGGATAGGTGAAGGTGAATGTGAACTTGGTGTCAAACAGAAGAGATATATATTTCTAAATAAAAAATTGCTATGTTGTGTTGATCAAAATACGAAAAACATGCATATATGTAACCCTGCCGGACCAAGTAAAACAAAGGACGTTTGGGCCACGAGGCCTTCTTCAGCTACAAAACAAACAAAAAATATAAAACAATTAACACAAAATAGTCTTAAGTTAACTTATCTGTCCGATGTTGTTCTCTATCGAGGCAGAAAAGAAATGAGCCGCGCTGGTGTAAAAGCGCGGGAAAACGGAAGGGGGCGGAGATGTCAGGCAAAGAAGAATGGGAAAAGGGGGTACCGTAGTGTTAGTGCCCATCGCTTATTAAATAAAAGTGTGCAACAACCAGCACACTTTTATTTAATAAGCGATGGGCACTAACACTACGGTACCCCCTTTTCCCATTCTTCTTTGCCTGACATCTCCGCCCCCTTCCGTTTTCCCGCGCTTTTACACCAGCGCGGCTCATTTCTTTTCTGCCTCGATAGAGAACAACATCGGACAGATAAGTTAACTTAAGACTATTTTGTGTTAATTGTTTTATATTTTTTGTTTGTTTTGTAGCTGAAGAAGGCCTCGTGGCCCAAACGTCCTTTGTTTTACTTGGTCCGGCAGGGTTACATATATGCATGTTTTTCGTATTTTCTATACAGTCGTTTACCCCTGCAGCAGTAAATCTTTGTTTTTTTGTGTTGATCAAAGCATATATATCTATATGTACAGTCTGGCCTGTCTATGCCAACCCTGTTGAACTTTGATTAAATTTATTAAAATGGTATGTACATGCTGGGGTTGACTCATTTACTGAAATGGTAGGAATGTTGGCTTTTTTTATTACAATACAAAAGTTGGCAGCTTTATGGTAACGTACATCTTTTTTGAATTTCTCATGTCTTTGGGTTAGACTATTTCAAAACTTGCTTTTCTTCTGTATCTTTTTTTTTCTGCATGTATTATAGCTACTGCCTAGAACATCAACTCTTTATCTATTAGCCTTTTTTATGATTGTTTTCTGTATTATTGGGTTCTACAATTACTTTAAAATTTACTGAAATTGTGATCAGATTGAAATGGAAAATAGGAAAGTTTATAGCTATAGCCCTTTATGGTGATTGCCAAAAATATTCATTTTATTCTAAAGGTCCTTGAAAAAAACCTGTTTAGATATATTTTACCACAGCAAAGCAATTTTATGTTGCAATTCATATACAAACCTTCAAAGTAGATTATTATTTCTAAGGTATAATTTTTTTAAATTTTTTTTAGATGTAATAAAATATGGTATTTATTTGTTTTTTTTTAAGGGCTGTCACATTTTCATTTTACTTAATAATGTTCTTGTCCATTCTTAGGGTTTCCTTGAAACTGAACAGAGAGAGTCAGGACTTGTTTCTCAAAATAAACGAAGGAACAAAGAGAGGAAATTGTTCTAATTGAGCTTTGGTTCAAAAATATTTCCAATTTTCAACATCGTCAATGATCATTTAGCAGGGAAGTTGTGAAGCTCTTTAAGTACATTTCCATTTATTGTTTCCATTTTATGACATTCATGACAAACTTGAGTGTGGACTTTTTAAAAAAAAATTGTTCAGCATGGAGTATGCCAGGAAAAAACCTTTTTCAATGACTTGTTTCTCATGTTTGTATACTTTATTTTTTTCATCTTTGAATGACATGGAAATATGACAGAGCAAAATAATAAATATATTATTGATTATGATGTGACATGATATTCTTGCCATTTATAATGTTATTAAGTGTTAGTGATAATGTACATAAAGTCCCTGTGCTGCTGTGTGCATTGTATTATGATATAGCATTAGTCCTTAAAGCTAATCTAATTAAATCATTTTACATTTTAATCTGCTAGATCACCAACTTAATATCGAAGTTCATGTTTCTTTAACTTAGTTATGAACAGTAATTGAACAATTTAACATATTTTGAGGGGTTTTCTTCTTTATTTCTGTGTATTTGGCTTACGGGTCAGTGCAATTTCTATTTGTTTTGAGTTTCAGTCCAAGAATATGAGTGGACCATCTCTCCGCATTTTCTTTAAACATTAACTTTATGTCCTTCAATTTAATTAGTTAGATTGCAAAAGTTCTTTTTTGACACCATTGTAACACTTTTAATTTTTATTTGGAATTTTTACCATACTTGTATCAACTCACTCCATTTGTCAAGTTAAAATCTTTTAGATGTTATATCTCCCACTTCCCATTCTTGGATCAAGATGAAACTTTGCATAATTATTCATTTTTGATGACAACACATGAATCAATTAAAAATTGCCAATTAGTAGTACTGTTTTATGAGGAAAATGTACTAAAATTATATCAATTTTATTTTTTCAATTTAACTCAATATAATTGAGGTAATTAATAAGTATTTGTTATATTTAACTTGTTAAATTATTGTGAAAAAAACAAATGTGTTTGACTGAACATTACTCCTGATAGTGATGTTTGAAATGGCACAATACATTTTTTTGACATTAAGCACTATATAATCCTGCTTCTTTTCTAAAACTGAGAAGCTGTTGTAATTATACTGTTGTTATTAAAAGTATTTCTATGCTTATTTAAATTGTTATCTTAGTACCCTATACATTTTCTTCTAGTGGTTACTCCTATAACATTAGCTTCAATGTTATCGCTTTTAAGTATTATTACATGTATCTTGCTAATTACATTTGCATTCATGGTAGTTTAGTTAAAGATCCACAATGACAATGGTTATTTTGCCACATCCAACGCAGAATCTACAATGACAATGGTTATTCTGCGTTGGATGCGGCAAAATATGTAGTTGCTGCAGGGTCTGTGTAGCCACGTGAAATAGTACACAAGTTTTCGGATGTGAGCGGAGATTATACAGAGAAGCAGAAATCCAAAGCATATAGTTCTTATTGCAATAGTTATAGTATTTAATAGTATTTTATCTAATGAAATGAGTGAATGCTGTTTAGTTTAATTAGAAGATTAAGAGGAAGTTTGTGGGCATCTCTTGTAAAACACTTTCAGTCATGAGTATAAATTAGTTTACGCTATTCTCTAGGACTTGTACTTTTCTCGCCATTATTGTAACTTTTGGGAGATAGTCGATGAAAGACAAATATGGTTGGTAAGTATTCCCGTGATTACAAATAGTACGCTCATATGATTAAGTATTACATATCAATGTAAAGTTTTAAAAAGTCTTTTTTTATCAGGCCGAATTTCTAAAAACATTTTGTTACCCTTATTTTTTTCCAGATTATTTTTTTTTCTATATATATTTCTTTAGATTTATTCTATTGTTTGGTCTCAAGTGTGATCAAATATTATCTGAGACTGACTATATAAAATACCTTATGGTGTCAAGAGAAAGTAAAATCAAAATATAAGTTTGTTGAAAAATAATTTCCCTTGCTTTTTTTGCTTTGCTGAGTATCAGTACGAGGTTAAAAAGAAAAAAGGGAAACTTTTAAAAGAAGTCATAACATTATTTTTGTGACAATTATTTCAAAGGTGAAAATCAGCTTTAAGAGAAATGAGTAAAATATTAACTTTAAATTATAAAATTATAATAAAGAAACTGAAATCTTAATTTTAAATGACATGTGACATTTATTTAAATCTGTGTTATTGAAGAGAAGCTTCTTCAAATTTATTATGAAACTCTTTCAGTTTCATTCACTGATTTTATTGAAACTATTTACACTTTTCACTTCACTCTTTTTCAAGCACAAAAAAACTTTCTGTGATAGGCTCATTCTTTATTATCACTGTTTGCTCAGTAGTGCATTACAGAAATTCACTTTAAAAAATTCTTTATTATCACTGTCTGCTCAGTAAAAAATAATTTCTGAATGGAATTGCACTGGCAGGTCACCTCACATAATCAGTACCTGCTAAACTTTCATGTTCTATCTTTTCCTTGTTTGTATCATCCCACATGAAATTTAATCAAGTGTTTTTTTTGTTTTTTTTTTAAGTGTTTTCTTCATCACTCTTTCCAATTAATATATTTATATCTCATAACTCATTTGTATTCAAGTCTATTTTTGTTGATGCTTAAACTATTTGTGTGATATAAGCATTAGAACGCATATAATGCAAAAATCTAGGAAGGTTTAAGTTAATTTCAGTGTAGACAAGGGGTTAGCATACATAAGGCCTGGCAGAACATTATTCACAGTCCATGGACAAATGCAAATATTAAAATAATTTTTAAAATGTAACTTTAATTGTAATTTGTCAATTTGGAATAAAAAAAATATTAAGAATTTGAAACTAAATGGTATTTTAGAGACTATAAATATTTGTATTTTCTTAAGCTGTAAATATGTATGCTGTCCCTCCCTCGGCCCAGAAATAGGTCTTGTGGCACTCCATAGAAAACATTTGCATACCTCTGGTGTTGATTTACTGTTCATGAGAATGCAGTACCCAAAAGCTCATAAAATGATTTTATCAGCTCAGCTGTGTATTGGATAACATTCTTACTCTTAAATCTTTTAGATTTCCTTGCAAAAAGAATCTGTTTACCATGTTCCTAGATCTCCAGATGCTATTAGTGATCATACTTAAGTTTGTTGCCTCAGGAGCCTTTAGTTTGAAACACTGAGTTTTGAAAATTCAGATATCAAACACTGAACTGTAAGTGAGCTGAATGATGTTTGGTCTTTTACATGTTATAATATTCCAGTGCCATTAAGTTTGAATGTGATATGAATTGCTACAGAACTTTATCTGTACTACATGTTGAATAAGATGACTTGTATGTCTGTTTTGGAAATTTGAAGTACATATGTCTGAAGTAATTTCACTGTATGGTTGACTATTAGTGATTTGAGGTTTTAGAACATAATTTGAAGGTATTTCATAAGTTTATACATTTTAAACTTTGTGTATGTTATAATCTTTTTTTTTTGTTTCTTTCCCTTAGTACACTTCAGTTTTTTACCCAGATAACTTTTGAAATTAACACATATTCCTGTTTAGCAAAGAAGGAGAAAAAAAAATAAAAAATTCAAATTCATTTGCTGAAAAGTTTTGATTGAAGTATAGAGAAATATTTTAAGTTGTTTCTTCGTTTATTACATTTGTTACCATGGTGTATATAGCAATTGTTTATTTTGGTTTGTTGCATTCGCCTTAATAAAGTTGTTGAAGAAAAAAAATGTTGGCATTTTTTCCCAATATAGTTATAGATGCTTTTATACAATTATTTAGAGAAGACTTCCAGAATTCTTGAGGTCTATAAAAAAAGCATTTTGCTTACAAATGAATAGAATACTCAGAAAGAAAGATCAATGCAAATTTCTTATTCCATACAAAATCCTACAAGTACTCTTTCTTCCCTAGTGCCATATAAGCATGGAATAACTTAACTTATTAAATGCAGATGTTACTTGAAAAAAGATGACTACGTCCTACGCAAGTTCCTAGGTCAATCTAGTCATGCATGTTAACCAATGACTTAAATTCTGCCAAGTCATTAGTTTTCCTGGCTGGCTCAGGAATCCCATTCCATGCTCTAATAGCACTAGGGAAGAAAGAGGATTTGTACAAATTTGTCTTAACATACTAAATGAGGAATGTACCTAAAAGTAATTTTTAATTTTGAGTTTTATTAAAAATGTGTGTTTAATAACAATAGTTAGCAGGTCATCGTGAAGTCAAATCACTGTAGTAACCCTGTCACTGATGTATACTGTTTTTTATTTTGCTTATGTGCAAAGTTCAAGCCACATTACATAAGACAGGGAATATGTAAATGCCTAAAGGTTGAGGATAGCACCAAGCTGATAGTTACTCTAACATTACATCCACCTGGCTGTAAGTAGAAAATTTAAATCTCACCATGAAACATTAGAAATAAAAAAAAAAGTACATATTCTCTACTTGTACATACTCTTTAATATCAAAACAACAATTAATATGAAGTCTTAAATTTTGTTGTGCTGTTTACTTATTGAAACAGAAATAGTTTACTTTTTCCTCAAAAGAATTTTCTCCAAGCCAATCATGGGAGACTCCAGGGCCAAGTTGAGTACAAATGATGTCATGTATGTCATAACCAATATACCCAAATAGGTTACAACCTGTGGAGAATAGAGTATGCTGTATTAGTTGATACACAATATAGAGCAGAAACATTTATCAAAAACAAGCTTAAATGATTGCTTATGCAAGAATAGATCTAGCTGAGCTCTGCAATAAAGAAAGCAACAGGTGGACAAAAATATATCTAGTTGAGCACCGAGAATAAGGTCAGGAACAATAGGTAGACAAGATAGATATATTATAGCCCTGAGATTTAGGCCAGGAACAATAGGTAGACAAGATAGATATATTATAGCCCTGAGATTTAGGCCAGGAACAATAGGTAGACAAGATAGATATAGCCCTGAGATTTAGGCCAGGAACAATAAGTAGACCAGATAGATATATTAGTGCTAAAGATATAAATTTGCTGCTTTCTAGAACCAATTGTTTACTGTGGTGTTTGTGAAGCCAACATAATGACAGACTGACTTTATCGGCCCATACATTTTGGACACTCATTTGAAATAACTCTTCACTGGTCATGCAGTATGCACACTGGACAGTTGTTGAGCTGTTTCTATTGCCCCAGGTTCATACCCTACCAGCTGCCTTTGTCCAGTTAGAGGTTTGGACTAGGAAGAAGATAATCTTCAACTCAGATGGAACATTCATAGCATGTCAAAGATTCTGCAAGCCATTCTATATTCAATTGGATACCACTTAGTTCATAAGGCTTATACTTTACTATTTCACCACTATGTCTCCCTGGCTATTTTTTTTTTTTTGGTTAGTGAAGGCAAAGACTTGAGTTTCTAGAAACTTACCAAGTTTATGTCACTCAGGTAGAATGGAACCTCATGATTACCATAATACACTTTGATAAGACAGGGATGAATCAGGTAAGCCATATAGGTGAGCCTACCTAGGGGAATGAAGGGTGACCAGGACAGAAGTTTGTTCACAGGACCTGTTAGAATATGAATTTCATAAGAATAATTAAACAATAAAAAAATCAAATTGATGGCTAAATTGTGACCAACATGAAGTAAATAAAAATGGCTAAAATATCTTACATAAAATGAAATAACTGCACTGAATTTCTCAAATTAAATGTATAGTTCTATTGTTTTAAAAAGTGTATTTGATGATTACATAGAATAGGCTGTCTAGTTATGTGATATGCACTTTGGACTGTCAACAAAATGGTCATGTGTACAAATTCTGCTTGCTGCCATTTGGTTAGCACATAATATTCATTTCTGAAGGAATGTCCATAATGTATAAAACAAACAAATATTTACTACATTACAAACTACATAAATAAGGCTTGTCTTTGAGTCTGAAGATTAATGAGGAATGCAGTATTTTCCCAGGCTACCCAGCCCCAGCTTTGACCAACATATCTTGGCACATCCAGGGCAACCATAACGATTGTCCGCCAGTGATCCATTAAGATTTTCTTTTTGCTGACTACGTCTGTCCTCGGCAGCAGATTTTCTTTTGGTCTCAAATGTGTATCTTGTGGCCTTTGTAAGTGACCTCCAGCTGTCTCGCTCTGAAGTCAAATGAGGCAGCAATTTCAGGAAGGTATCTATATCATGTTTCATTCAGACAGCAATGTATTTAATCTTCAACGTCTACTGTCCCATACAAAACAAAAGAAATGGTCATAACAGAACTACTCTATGCCATTGATTGCTACCTCACAATGAATATGATCTCCGGATGGAGGTCAACAAACTGCATTACGATTGTAATAACTACATTGATCTAGGTAATGTGAAATTCATACTTCAATATGTTTTAAAGTAATATGTACCTCCATATCCTGAGACGCAGGCAACAACCACCCAGCACACACAGGCTCCCCAGGCTGACCTAGCCACTGCATTGTATAGAGCTGCCACCCCAACACTGCTTGGATGATCTCCTCCTGTGTCTCCATGCAGACCATAAAGAACTAACAGAGCTGTCCCTGCAGCGGTTGTCCATCCGAGCATTGCCAAACCCTGTAAATATATCTTGAATGAAAGTTTATTTGTTTCAGACAAGTCCTTTATAAATGGAGATTATTATGTCTATGCTCAAGACATACCTTGTTTAAAGAGATTCTCCCATTAGATCTAACCAAAAAGTAACCAGTCAGTATACCAATAACATAAGGACCGATCCGGCACCATGGAACTATGTAGTAGTTTTTCATCCAGTGATCAGATGATTCTCTGCAACAAAAGAGTGTGATTAGAGGAGGAGTGTCATATATCGCTTGACTACCTATAGACTATAGAGGGAGCTCGAGTTGGAATCCTGACTAGAGCTGAGTTTTGTTTTCTGACATAGGTTCACAAAAGAGATTAGACCAGAGCCCACTGCACGTGCTTTAAAATGAAAGATATGCTATATAAATGTAAAAGTTCCCCTTCCAGACCTTGCAATCCTTAAGGCAGATGATGTTAAGGTCATCTGTTTCTTTGGCCAACGGTCAATGAGCAGGGTGTCATGTGGCCAGCACAATGACCAACTGCCTTTACTTTGCCAGACTTAAGTCAGGTACCCATTAGAGTTGGGTAGATTCAGGGACATCCTAAAACTCCTGGAATTCAAAATCCCATTCTTCACTGAAATTCAAAGCCAGGACCTCAAGTTCAGAAGCTAAACGCTTAACCACTCCTCCACCTTATACGAAAGTAGTGGGGTTTTTTTAATTTCAAAGAAAGAGTTCAATATATTTTTCATGGCTTGAAAATTTACAACTTTTAATTACCATGAATAAAAAAATAAAATGCTGAGGATTATTTATAGACTACATGTACATAGATATTATGTGTGACACTAAATTGTTACAAAATAGATTATAGAATTATCTTAAATGTTCAGTTTTGCAATATTATTTACATACTGAATATGCTTGTTGAGTCCTACCAATACAGTTGGCCATCTGTAGTGCACAGACAGAACAGCGACACAGATCCACTGACCAATCAGAATAAAGGAACAAATGGATATCCCAAATATTATGTTGCTGAAAAAAATGACGAAGAAAATATTCTCAATAGAAGCCATACCTAAACAATAAAATGCTTTTAAAATTTTATACTGTGTTCCATAATCAACTTATTTATATTTTATTTCTCAACAAAAAAAGTTACTTCTCTTTATGAACTTTCTAAATTATTTTCAAGTTTCATTCAATGCCATATTAAAGTTTCAAGCACAGTTCTCATTAGATTTGGTCACCACATAATATTTTTATTTTTCTATTGATATATAGTGATAGGCAATATACTTTGTAATTTAAATCTAAAATCATTATTTATTGCAGCCTGTCTGAACCATATTAGAGATTTGACGCAATACAAAGATAACTTTACATTCAACCCTTAAAGAGCAAAGAAACAAAACACTCTGTAGGTTACATATATAATATTTTGTGTTGTGTGTTGTGTCTGTTCTATTTATGTGAAATAATGTTTTTTAATGGAGAACAGAGTCTTTGTACTTACAATACCAACAATGATCAATAAAGCAGTCTTAGTCTTAGTTTTCATTCTCCTAATTCTCTTTATAAAAGAAGATAAACATAGATACCAGTTTAGGCTCATCCCATGAGCTTTCTTAATGAAAAACACTCACCAGTGCAATGGTATTAACATCAAGGGAGATAACAAAAAGAACTGCATATCATTAGCCAAATACCAGGAATGCCCAAAGCACTAGAGAGAGGAAACAATATGAGGTTAAATTTGTTTCAAATCGAACAGAATTATATTTTTAAAAAGTTGTTTTCTTTTCATATGATAAGGCAGAAAGATTTACATACACACCCACACAATAACCATTATTTATAGCATGAGATATTTCAAGCAAACTAAAGAAAGATGTGATTCAGTGGCAAAAACTACTACTTATCAAGGAGGCTGAGTTACCAAGGGCTGAGAGGTTTGCTGAGACAGCAGGGCGCCGTTACCTATTGTGCAATGTGTGCATTGCATGCAAGTGGCCGAATGTAAGGAGCGAATACCAAATCATTATTTCCAGGTTAGCCTACCTTTATTATTTAAATTTTTAGTTTAAACAAAAAATATTTTAATATTTTATATAAATTCTAATTATTCCATATCATTTGAAAGAG